CTCCTGCTGGAAAATGATGAATGCATGAGGAGAGAGGCTCTGAGCCTGCTTCTCTGCTGCGGGAGTGTCTTTCCCTCCCTCTCTCTCCCTCTCCCGGTTCCTGTGTGTGTGTTTGGCTCCCTAGCTGTGTGTGCGTGTACACTGTGTATATATATCTGAGCTGGGAGGTTATTGCAAGCTTCTCTCAGCAGCGCTGCTCTGTGCAGGAAGAAGGGCTCAGCTGCAGTGGTAGCATTAACAGCAGCATTAGCAGCACCAACAGCTTTTTCTTCCTTTCTCCCTTCCCTTCATCCTTATCTCCCTTTCCCTCTCCCCCACCACCCCTCCCCTTTTTGGGGGTTGCTTTTTTGATTTTTATTTTTCTCTCCTCCTACAAACCTTGTTATCTGATACTTTGTGGCTTTTTATTTTCCCCCTGAGAAGGAGGAACACACACACACACACACACACACACACACATACACAAACACACACACACACACACACACACACACACACACACACACACACACACACTCACATAGAGCAATAAGGGAAAGAAAAGTATTGGGACTTATCCTGCTGCTGCAAACCAAGAGATAGCAGACGAAGAGGGGGGTTGGCTTCTACCCCAAGGTAAAGCCCAGCCCCCTTTACCTCCTCGCCACCTCCTCCAAGAAAGAGGAGAGAGAGAGAAGGGGGCAAAGTGGAGAAAAGCAGGTCTTCAGCAGCTGGCATTTGGAGTACAGGGAGCCAGGAAGTGAAGGATGGTTGTGGTTACCCGAGCTGGCTGCAGGGCAGCTCTCTTCCTCTGGATTTTCAGCAGCATTAGCTGCAGAGCCAGGACTGCTCTCCCTGCATCTCGTAAGTACCTTTTTCAGAGAACCATGCACATTTTCAGCTCTGCAATAAACCAGAAGGGGCTTCCCACAACTCTGGGAGGGTGTTTATTTTTTCTCTGATGGTGAATCTTGTGTTTGATTTTCTGTGTATTTGCCTGTGCATGTGTGCACTGAGGTTTGATACTGTTTGCAATGCTCTCATCAGATCTTCCTTATGCTGATAATTTTAGTGAGGCTGGTGGTAGCTGATGCTGAAAGTTGAAAGACTTGCTCCGTGATACAGACTTGGTTCTGCAGTGGAGTCAGAGGGGGAAAGGAATCGGAAGAAAGACGTTTAAAGTTTGGGGGTGGATTTTTGGTTGGTTGGTTTTTGGTTTTTTTCCCCTTGTTCAGAAGGTGTGCAATTTGTATTTGGAAGTACTTCACTTCTGCGTTTGTGGGAAGGAAAAGAGGAGACATGGGCAGTTTCCATAACTAGTGTTTTATAAAGGAGAATTAGAAAGTAAAGGTTTGCAGCAAGAGAAAATTTTATCTTCTGTGAAGAGGAAGGAGTGACAGTGACTTGATGAGAAGGAACTGAACCAGGACAGCTTTTCTTGAGAGGGAAGTTTTGCTTCCCATAATAAATGAGCAAAGGTATTTTGGAACTGACCAGAAATTGCCCTCCTAGGGAGGCAGAAGTGGTAGAGAAATAATGAAGCATCTGATGAAATGCTAAACTTTAGACTGGAAGAGTGCAGAGCACCTATACAGGACCCAGTTCTGCTGTCAGGGTAAAAATGACAGCATACTCATTGATTTCAACGGGTTTTAGGTCAAACCTTTAATGTTGCAATGAACCGTAGTTTCCAGTAAAACATTTGCAGGTAGATGTTAATGTTAAGTGTTTAGTTGTTTCTCTGCAGCCGATGTAAAGCGTTTGCCATTTGCAAACTATTTTTGAAATGCATACTGAAAGGAAGCCTACCATTTTTATAGAATCATCAAAAATAGACGCTACTATTGACTTCCTCTGCTGTTTATAGAGGAAGAAGTATTCCAGAAATGTTACAGATAGATGCGTTGGAGTTGTGTGTGTGTATCTGTATGTGGGCTGGTTCTACTGATCAAGCTGGGGATCATCTTAGAATGTAATGTGTATACTGCATAGAGATGTATGTGGATCATTGTTTTTATTTATTTATTTTCAGGGGCAGAGGGAATGAACAGTGCAACGATTAGGGCACTGGAGCATTTCTGTACTTTTCTTACTGGGTTTCTATCTGATATCATCTGATACCTTTTGAAAAATAAAGCAATGTTATTGCTTCAGGATATGCCTACACTTGCTTAGATATTTATTTGTATGACAACAGAAGATTTACAGCAGTGCTTGTGTTATATCGAAGTCTCAGAGGTTATAGGATATAGGTTCAGGTTGATTTTTTTTTCCTCCTTTAATTTAGGAACAATACCAGTCCTAGGTTTACTATTTGGTCTTGACTGGTCATCTAATTTTTCTTCTGAGTGTTATATCTCCATTATCATCCCTAGGGTACTGTGCATAACGGTAAAAGACAAGAAGAAGATTTATGCCCTAGGTTATCAAAAATCTGTTCTTGGAAAATAACATTCCCTGTATTCTTTTTTTATAACAGGATTTAGAGCTTTTTTGTCAATCGGTCGCTAATGGCTGTAGTTTAACTTGAAAATGACCCACCATAGCTTATCTCATTACCCAATAAACAAATGTTTAAGTTTTGAAAGAAGTTAGTTGAGAAGCTAGAGGCAGTAATAATATGATTATAACCAGAAACTCTTTGAAGAAAAGGATATATATAATCTTAATTCAAATTTACTCATATACATTTCCATCTTACAGATTTTTTCCAGCTATTTGAAGATTTCTTCATATAAATTCACCTCCCTAGGGCATATACGCTACACTCCTTATGTATTTACATTTCTGATTCACTTCTGAAAGTGAAAAGCAGATAGATTTGTTTATTGGAAACAGACACATAGCTGCAAGTACCTGTCAATCAGTTGCAAAAAGAGCACACACATTACAGTTTATGAAAAATGTTTAGAATTTTTTTCTAAAAGACGTGTCCGTACTGTTGAAATGGTACCACAGTAGGAACTCATGTGTTATGTCACGGTGTTTTGGTGCACCACTTAACTGGTTATTCTGTTGCACGCTTTAGTATACAAACTGATTACTGTGCTCTGTTTTCTTGTATTGTTTGTCATATGTGCAACTGATTGTAAATTCTTTTGATGATTTTTTTCCCTTTATCTTTGAAAAGGGAGCGAGGTCTGTTTATCATATCCTTGTGCATGTGTGTGTGTGTGTTTGTGAGAGTGTGTGTGTGTAGTGTGTGTGTGTGTGAGTGTGTCATCAATTGATTTTGAAGGCTGTATTGGGAATACTTCTGAAGTTTTACAAAATTATGTGAAATGTAATGTTGATGTACAGCTAATTGCCCTCAGATTTTGATTTTGTCTTCCATCCCTACTCAATGTTTGAGTTTGAAATGATTAACAACAGCAATTTTTTGTACAGTATTTTAGAAAGCATACAAGATTCATGGTGTACAGTGGATTACTAATCTTTACATATGAGCTCATACATACTTATTATTTTGTTATAGCATGCTTGCGCGCAGATAGAGAAAGATACAGTTTTCAGAAAGAATGGTATTGGCCCTGACTTATGTGAATATATTGCATCTCAAGTTTTTGTTTTCTTTGCCGTGTCACTGAATCTCTCTCTGTCAGTAATACTGATTCAGCAGTCATCATGCTGAAATCTTTGAATCTCATTCAGTTTATCTCAAGGTGAACTGGGTGCTGCAAGTCCATTCTGTAGTACAATAAATATGCACAGTGGTACAATATCATTCACATTTTTATTCAGGTGTTATTTTAATTTTTATTGACAGTTATATTTTTCATACCTCAGCAATAAATTCTTCATATTTCTGCTACTTTTTCTGTTTTCTTTGGAATAAGCACAAAGGGATCAAAACACTCCTAACTTCTGGAATCAAGGCTAATGAACAGCTCAACCAGGAGAGGTCATCACAAGATAAAAAGTAACATGGAAAATACAAATTTAGTGCTTTATAGCCTTTAATGTGGCTTAAAGATGGAATAGTAAGAATATGACTATGGGTAGACTAGCTATCACTTGGGTTCTCATTTTGAAAAAAAAAGAAAGAAAAAAAAACCAAAGTAGCAACCTTGTCTTCTTAATGAAAATGCTTAAGGGATTCATTTTTTGGGTCATTTACTTTTTTGTAAAATTATAAAGACTCTGTTAAGAAACAGTTGTCTTTCACAGCTAGGCTTTATTTTCAGTTGTGTTTGTTTATATGCAAAGCAAACCTGACCAATATAGAACTGCTAAAACTTTGTTATAGTTCTGATGCTTTTAATGCTTTTACAGTAGGTCCCATACCAGTGTTGCAGTTGAAATTTAAGTCTATTTCACAGTAGTTGATACAGAAATCAAAAGAGGCCGCTATAATCAATCATTAACCTTTGTGCCTATGCAAAAATATGTATCTTTTACCCTTGACTGCATGTGACCTAGACTTTCCTTATTTCTTAATAGCATGAATAAATGAGAAAAATATTTTAAAAATGTAATATCCCTTTTGAAGGAGCAAGGCCTTGTACAAGAAACTTCATTTCAGGGATCTTGTAGAAAACAGAATTAGAGACTCTGTCCTTCCAGTTCCTGGTGTTTGGATGTTGTGCAAGTGGAGCTGTGATATATTCTTTATGCACTTTCATGGACTTTCATTTGGGAGTAGTTATCTTTCAGATAAGCTTTCAAACAAATGTTATTTTGTGAAATCTGGTGAATTTCAAGTCGGAAAAAGATCATTTGTTGTGTTTCTGTTGCCTCTGTTTACATTGCTTTGTTTAGGTGTTATTGCCTGGATCTAAAGTCAGAGATCCCACAGAATTTAGTTTCAGGTGTATCAGAACATTTTTCATTGATCATTTTCTTTCCCAGGTAACAAAGCACTTGCAAATATGCTATGCTTTCAATAAGGGCCTAAATTCTCTTTAGGAGGATGGGACTTCGGAACATTATTAAGCACATGCTTTCTTGTTTTGTTTTTTTCTTAAATTTAGAACTTTTTAGCTAAAAAGTAGACCAAAGTTAGACCAGTTATATGCATCACTATATAATAATGCTATTATATAAAGTGTTATGCATCACTATATAATAAAATAAACATTGAAAAGAGAAACAAACATTTTATTGATTAGTTATTTAACAACATTGAACTGAGTTACAGTGTTCTGGGTACCTGTTTTTAAATGAATATGCTTTCACTAAAACAATACGTTACCTGGTGTGTGAATGAAATAGTAATAAATAGTCTGCTGTCATTTCCAAATTGGTGACAACGGCTGGAGCACTCATTGGTGCTGAAAAGCCAAAGTTGCAGAGTCCTTAACGCACGTGAACGCAACATTGCACACAGCCTGATTGCAAACATTTGTCTATATACAGAAAGTCTGATTCAAAATTTGATGTGGTCAGTGGGCACTGATTCAATTACTAATGTCATTCATTGAATTAATGTGTTAAAAACTATCTTTGCTTAGGTTCTTTTTGCTTTGCTTGTGTTTTTAGTTCATTTATTTTCAAATTCAGGAGCAATAATATGGAATAACACACAAAAAAGTACTTTTGGAAGCGGTGAAGTCTGCCAGGAAGCTTGAAAGTGCAGTTAAAGACCATTTCTTTTTCTACAATAAATGACCTGTCTCTGAACAGTTTAACTTATTGGTCAAATACAGGATCATTAGTTAAATCTGGAGGTGTGCCACTGCCTGTGCTTGCATTTCCTAAATGTCAATTATGCTAGACCTTACAAAGGTACATGAGCTTACAAATGTGTATATGATTTCAGTAGCTTCAGATAGAAAACGTTAGAGAAGCAATGCTAGTCTTATTCTTAGTCGGATGAAACTCTGACTTTTTTATTTTGTCAATCTTTAAAATTTAAAAGAATTATA